TATGTGTGAGTGTGTGCAAGTATGTATGCATGTGAGAGTGTGTGTAAGAGTGTGTGTGTGAGTGTATGTATCTATGTGTGAGTGTGTGCATGTGTGTATGTGTGTGAGTACGTGTGTGTGAGCTTATGTATCTGTGTGTATGTGTGGGTGTGTGCATGTGTGTATGTGTGTGAGTACGTGTGTGTGAGCTTATGTATCTGTGTGTATGTGTGGGTGTGTGCATGTGTGTATGTGTGTGAGTATGTGTGTGTGAGCTTATGTATCTGTGTGTATGTGTGAGTATGTGCATGTGTATATGTGTGTGAGTACGTGTGTGTGAGCTTATGTATCTGTTTGTATGTGTGGGTGTGTGCATGTGTGTATGTGTGTGAGTATGAATATGTGTGTATGAGTATATGTATCTGTGTGTGTGAGTGTGTGCATGTGTATAAGTGTGTATGTGAGTATGTGTGTTTTCCTGTGTTGTGTTTTTCTTTATCTATTTTGCTTGTTTTATTTGCCTGTTTAATTTTTTTAAAGAGAAAGAGAAAAAAAGGCATGGACTTAGAAGGGGGAGATACAGAAAATTATGGAAAAGATGAGTGAGGATGAATGTGATGTCAAATTATCATGTGAAAGAAATATATTTTCAATAAAAATAAACAGACATATCCATTTAACCCTAATAAACTTGACAGTTTCTGAATAAGACCGGAAACATTTTCATCTGTAAATTCATTGTAGTATTGATTGGAAGTAAAAACAGCAACCATGTAACTGTTTTTAGTAACTTACAGTTCATGATACATTACTTAAAACATGTCATTATAATGCCACATAACATAATGTAAGCCCCAGGGAGACCATAAATGACAGATACAGATACTTAAAATGCATTGATAAGCAATTCCAAATATTAATCATACTTACATTTTTCATAAAACCTTTCTTGTGTCCTCATTTTTCCCTTCAAATTTAACTATACCCCACTGTCATTTAAAAACCCCACCCCCATCTGTTTTATGGTGTTCTTTCCATCTAATTTTCTGTATCCAAAGGGACATGAGCTTGGCTTGTGTCATCTCAGTGTTTCCAAGCTATTCATGATGCAAGTAGACCATGATTGTATCTGTTTTCGGCTTTACCGTATAGAAAAGAACCCATGAGCTGTGTATACTCCACCTGCTCCATACAGTGTAGTTAATACTTTCTGTGGCAAAGCTGGCAATAACCTGAGTCAATGCTATGTTACAGCAAAGGCTGGAAAATGAAGAGCAGTAAAAAAAATAAATGTGCAAAGATAGCAAAGGAAAAGAAACAGATGGTGCTCTAACTGAAGGTAAAAAATACAATGTTGCGACATTTCTGGGTCTGGACAGCCTTCAGTGTTGCATACTGAGCAAACAGTGAGTCAAAATGGGATTATTCCTCTTACGGACTCTCCGGTGATCCCATGCTGCAGAGTGATGGGTAAGCTTTCTCAGGAATGCCAATTGGCAGGCATTCCTGGTGATGTCACAGCAGTCTAATAGAACACAAGGTACTCATTGTAGAAATAAAATAAATGGCCATCTTTCCCCCTCTGTAGAGATCAGCAGAAATACCTCAAACTGTGAGGATGGCTGCTAAAGCCATCTGTACAAAAACACTCCCTAAAATACTCTTGGTGGTTTGTCTGAATTCAGAACTGCCAAGTCTTATGTCTTCATCGAAAGATATGAAAGACATCACCCTGGTGATTACCGTCTTATTATTCCTTCTGAAAAAAACATTGTGAGAATACTTACTGCTTAGGAATGGATTTTAAGCCAATGACTATTGATAAATTTAGGACCTTTCTCATGGGGATTTTTTTCATAACTCTCTAAAACCATGTGTTTGTTCAAAAATAAGGAAGTTTGTGAGTTACTAACATTAAGCCATTTCATTCATGCCTCGCTTAACAAGAACCTCGTTAATTTCATGTACGTTACTTGGAAGAGGTGAACTTCCATGGGGTCCTATGCGCCATTTCTTAGAACTGGGTGAAAAGCCAGTGTCACTTATGTATGTCAATTGTCCCACGGCTGTGTTGCTAGACGCACATCCTACTGCATGTAGAATCCTGCCTATGAACAGAATTCCACATGACAGAGTATGACCTGCAGCTTCAGAAATAACCAAGACATGCTTGTGGAAATTACACATAGAGTTTTGCTTTGTGCAAGTTTGAAATGGGAAGTCTCTAGTGAGTAGAAAAGGTTAGCTCTGTGTGTGTGTGTGTGTGTGTGTGTGTGAACTCCCAGTGATCCATCATTTCTTCATGTCAATCCTGTCATCCCAGGTGAGTGGAAGAGACAATCTCAATGGTGTTAGAATCCTGGAAGATTGCTCCTCCCTCCAGAGCACTTTAATTTTGCACAACATGCATTTTATAATTTTTAATTTATATTCATAAATAGTGTTCTTCCAGGCTCTGAGGCTGCACTCAACCTCTGCCTGTGACACTTCAAAGGGTTTGCCCTTGCTACTTTATAGTTGAAAATGTGTGGTTCTCACTTTCTTCAAATCAAATGGGATGTCTTGAACAAGATGTGATAAGTCTCTAAATATAAAGGTGGGTTTTTTTTGAATAGCATTGATACTTAAAACAGCATCACTTAAACAGAAGCTGTGCCAAGCATACATTTATATCATTCTTAAATTCCAGTTCTTCAGCAACAAAACTGAAGCTTGGAGACAGCAGGTTTTCCAGATATATATATATATATATATTCTCCAAACTTGCCAACACTGAAGAGGCTACAAATACACATTACTTTATCTATCTATTCCATTATGCACATTTCTCCCAGCTGACCATTATTTACTGAACTAAGATATGGGAATACAAATGTTGAGTGAGTGTCCTACCATTAAAGGTCTTACAATTTAGAACGGAGGCCACCAAATAAACATTTAGTACGATATATGAGCAGTAATAGCTCAAGTACTGGAATAGATAAAGAAACAGAAACTCTACAGGACAGCAAATTAAAATTATTGGCTATTGGTAAGTGAATATTTTTACCAATAAGGGAAGAAAGCACTGGTAAGCATATCTGGAAATTATATGATTTTATGAAACCAACCTCAAAGTATAAGTAAAAAGTCAATTATTATATTTTAAAATTATACATACAGCGCTTGTCTTCTGACAATTTCCTTGAAACCAGGTTATTATTCTGCACTGCTGTGGATGCAGCCAAACTATAGGCTTCTTAATTCAAGAGAATAAATCTGTAGAAATGGTTACAAAGCTAAAAGTCTGAATAATAGCTACCATGAAACATTGTCACTGTTTCAGTGTTCAATGGAAACAGGATTAGATTTTTGTACGTGAATTCAGCCGGTAAAGCCAGCACGCTCAGCCAGTGGAATGATCTGAGTGCTTATTTTACTTGCTGAAAAGCAATTATCATCATCATCACCATCACCATCATCAATTAATCATCAGATATTTCAATAATCACTAAGAACTGAGGATGTGAACTAAAACATTTTTTTCCCAGAGAAATGCAGACCTGGGAAAGTTAAAAAAAAAAAAAAAACCAACTTCAATGGTTTAAATCAGAGACTCCTTCTAGGAAAGATAACTTAATAGAGTAGACCATTGACCGAGAAACGATTTATCACCCTCGTGGAACCAATCAGCTCACCAGGTACCAAAGCCACACGTGCCAAGAACAAACACTCTAAGACTTTGAGCATCCTGTACAGAGGGACAGAACCATTAGGCCACACATCAATTACACTCTTAAACTTAATGACCTGCTAACCTCGTCATTTATCACTTCTACTGTGTTCTAATTTCTCTCTGGGGTTCTATCTTGCCCAATTGTGAGTTTCTTGACAGCAGAAGCTGATTAACCTAGTGGGCAGTGGGTGTTCATTGATATTGGTGTGTTCCCAGATCACACTGGACAGTGTGGACCAGGTACTTCTTGCTACTGATGTGTTGACAGCTATGAACTTTCGCTCATTTTCCAAGCTGTGATAAGCCAGTTACAAAAGTGTTTTAACAGTCTGGGGAAGGAGATCCTGAGCTAAAGACCATTGCTTCCAAAGTTAACCTATTCTTTTTTTCCAGATGCTATAGTCATAACAAGTTTCATACAGCTTGTAGCTGCTGGAACTGAAGAATGTTATGACTGTCATTGTTTTTATTTAATGTAAAAATTTATTTTAGAAATAGTCTTCATATGAGCACTAAGAAATAATTTTAAGCCATTTGCATGATTAAAGGCTTTAATCTTTTTAGACTTTTCAATAATAGCTTATCTAATATGTTTATTTGCATTATCTAGAAACCATTAGTAGCATGAGTTCATTCAAAGTAAAAATATAAATTTTAACATTCTGCTCAGAAATAAAAAAAAACATTGGAAAGAATTGTAGGTTTTATACAGAGTGTTTTATACTGGTGTGATTTTTGACTTGTATCAAATGTAATAATTTAATAACATTAAGAAAAATTTTCTTCATTTCTGTTATAATTATGTATTAGTTGAAAGCCGTCTGTCTTGATTGGCAACTTGGGATGTTTAGAAATAGGTCAACACTCAACAGGATTAAAGAAAAATCTAAATACATCTGAAAGAGACGCTGAAATTTATGGTTATAAAATATGTTATACATGGGCTCAGCCTTTGCTTATAAAATAGTCATGCATAAATAAAACAGAAATCCAGGAATATGAAACCTTTTCTACACAAAATTCAACTTAAATAAAGATCCTGTATGATGGTTCATGATTCCAAATGCAGACAGTTCTGCATGTACTTATCATTAATGTGGGATAAATTGCCAAATAGTAAACATTTGAAATCTAACTTAAAAAGCTTATCGTCAGCTGTATACCTTCATCAGTGGTCACATAAAACATGACCGGTAGACGTGTAGTCAGTAAGCAAGGACTCCCGGAAGGAGGAGAGGGATCCTCAAAATCTAGATGGGGCACTTTCTAACCTCAACGCAGAGTATCGGCCAGTGTCTCTACTTACAGGTGGGTCTGCGTCTTCAGCATAAACGGTGGTGATTGGGGTCCCCTTGACTGCATCTGGAGCCACCATCCCTTTGTAGATGCGTTTGCTAAAAACTGGAGGGTAGTCATTCATGTCCTGTAAAATGGAATTGAGAGTTTAGTGCTGTGGCCAAAGGAGACCAGGGAACTGGTTAGGTCTATTCGGCTTTTTATGTCGTGCAATCTTTATACCAAGACCAGTTTTATCTTCCCAGACCTGTTTATCTCCTAACTTAGATGTGTGTGTGTGTGTGTGTGTGTGTGTGTGTGGTGTGTGTGATGATGTGTATATATCAGTGTGTGTGCTATTAGCTGAAGGGCACCCTCAGAATATCACACAATTTTACCACTCAAGCTCAAGCGATGCTTTGACTTTCCTCCAGGCTATCCCTAAGGGTAGGATGTAAATTCTAACTTTTGAAAAGGAAAAGAGAATTTTTGTGTGACGTAAATGTATGAGCATTCGTGTGTGTCCATTCACCACGTGTGTGAGGTGGCCGTGCATGTGTTCGCTTGTGCATTTGAAGGCTAAAAGTACAACGTCAGGCACCATTCTGTTGATGCTTGGACTTCCTTTTATGAGGAGCTGTCACTAATTGGCCTGGGACTCTCCAGGAGGCTAGACTGGCTGGCTTATGAGTCTCAGGGATTTCTCCATCCCTGCCTACCAGAATCTATACAAACACATGTCACCATGCCCAGTGTTTTCCTCTCTTCTCTCCCTTTTTCTTCCTTTCATCATTTCCACCTTTCTTTCCCCTTCCACCTTCCCTTTCCTTTCTGTCTTTCTGTAGGCTCTGGGTCTTGAATTCAGGCCTTCATACCTGCAAGTCAGAACTTTACCACAAACAAGCTATCACTGGCCACCTGTCTCCAAATGTGATCTTTTTAAAAGTTACATTCTGAGCTAGGTGTTGTAGCTCACCTTTTAAAATTTTATCTATCTATCTATCTATCTATCTATCTATCTATCTATCTATCTATCTATCTGTTGGGAGCCAACTCTTAGCTGAAAGTGGCTATCATCTTTACAGCCATCTCGAGCCATATACCCTGACAAGAGACTTGTTTTCAACAGCCCACAACAGCTGAGTACACTCTGATAAACATCTTGTTTTGCTGTTTAGTGCCGCCAGCAGCTAGGTGCACGTGGTCTCCACGTTGCTAGGTGCATGACATAGTGTCTTCAGCTGTGCTTGTCCACGAGGGCAAGGCACGTGGTAAAGGGTATAAATACCCAGGATTTCTTTTCAATAAAAGAGACTTGATCAGACTCTGTCTTGTCTCCATTTTTTGAGTCTCTTGCCTCCTCCATCCCCACTTTCTCTTTTGCTAGACCCTGACCTGTGGACCAGAGCAGCAGAATGGGCCATTACATACATACATCTATCTATCTATCTATCTATCTATCTATCTATCTATCTATCTATCTGGATATTTTCTTTATTTACATTTCAAATGTTATCTCCTCTTCAGGTCTCCCCTCCGGAAAGCCCATATCCCATCCCCCATCCCCTACCTCTATGAGGGTGTTCCTCCACCCACCCACCCACTCCCGCCTTCCTGCTCTGGCATTCCCCTACACTGGGGCATCGAACCCCCTCAAAACCAAGAGCCTCTCCTCCCTCTAATGTACAACAAGGCCATCCTCTACCACATATGCGGTGGGAACCATGGGTCCCTCAGTGTGTACTCTTTAGTTGGTGGTCCAGTCCCCAGGAGCTCTGGGGGTCTGGCCACTTGACACTGTCACTCCACCCATGGGGACTGCAAGCCCCCTCAGTTCCTTCAGTCCCTTCTCCAACTCCTCCATGGGGACTCCACGCTCAACTCAATGGTTGGCTGTAAGCAGCTGCCTCTGTATTTGTCAGACTCTGACAGAGGCATATCAGGCTCCTGTCAGCAAGCACTTTCCGGCATCTGCAATAGCATCCAGGTTTGTCTCATCTTTTTAAGCCCAGCACTCGAGAGGCAGGCAGATCTCTGAGTTCCAGGCTAGCGTTGTTTATAGAGAGAATTCCAGGACAGCCAGGGCTACACAGAGAAACCCTATTCCTTATTGCCCCCCAATACAGTCCAGGAAACAGGATAAAAGATAGTATTTTAAAATTTGTTTTGTTGTTTCTCCTTTTAAAACTTCTGTGTTCCTACAACAAGTTCTAGCATCCGACATACTTAATATGCTTGCATGAGCAAACTGTGAACTGTTCTTTAATTCACCTTTCATTCTTATGAATATAATATAATAAGAGGATGGCATCTTCTCTGAAACACCACAGTGATGGTATTCACAAGTCCATATGCTTACATATAGAAAACAGTGTTAATTTACTTAAGAGGAAGTTCCAAAGCAATTTATATGTATCTGATTTCATTTCAGTCAGCAAAATTGAAAAAATAAAAGGCATGTCCTCAGGCATGTGGTGTTCACCACCTCTTCTTTAAAAGACTTCATTTACAAGTTAGGCAGTGTAGAATCTGAGGTAGCAAATGGACTTAGAAACACTGGCTCGTCATAACCAGCAGTGTAAAGGACTCATCTGGGGATCTGGGCAGGGAAACTGGAGGAAGCATTTGCACACACACTGGCCTATGATTTTGTTGGGGACTCCCAGAGACTGAATCACCAACAAAAGAGCAAGCACAGGCTGGACCTCGGCTCTCCACAGATATGTAGCTGATGAGCAGCTTGGTCTTTGGGTGGGTCCTCCAACAACTGAAGCAAGGGCTGTCCATGAGCCTGTTGCCTGCCTGCCTCTGGATCCCCATCCCCCTAAATGGCCTGCCATGTCTAGCCTCTGTGGGAGAGGATGTACCTAGTCCTGGACCATCTTTATGTGTGTGTATGGGTGGTGGTGGTGGTGGTAGGTGGTGGTGGTGGTAGGTGGTGTTATGTTACTGGACGTATGTGACATCCAAAGTGGGGAGGGGTCCCCATTCTCAAAACAGAAGGGAAAGGTGGAATGGCAGAGGGCTGGTACTAGGTTCTAATGTGAATAAACAGAAATTAAAAAAGAATAGTGAATAATTTAGTGAGTGTATTTTATAGCCAAAGATGGGAATCCATAGGCACCCTTAAACTGTAACTTCTAGTGGTTATAAGAGGAGAACCCAAGATCACACGTTTAACTACATGACTTTTTCCAAAGGTTGATAAACTCAGTGTGCTCCTGACGTTTTGCTTTTGTTATCCCTCTTGACCAAGGAAATGTAAATTTTCGGACGATTCGACTCTCTGGTGGTGGGATAGCAGGATGACATAGGAGGATATATTTTTCTAGTTGCATTAATTCAGTTCTTGGTGGTATGGACAGAAAAGACCCATTTTTTTTTCTCTTCTGCTAGGCAGGTATTGGCAGGTTCACCTTTGCGAATTCACACTGGGTGTTTTGATATCCATCCTCATAAACCGATTACATACATGCCAAAGGTTATAATAACAGAAGACCATTAAGAGATTGCTTATCCTTCTCATTATTTTGCTTGCCATTGACAGCATGAAGAATAAATCAATATCGTTACAATGTAGCAGTATTTCTTTTCATGGCCTCCTCTACATGTTTTAGGCTTATGATCTCTATTGTGGGTGAAATATGTGTCAGATTGCCCATCATTTTCCCACAATGCGCTGTTTTGGGTGAGACAGTTTATTGGAATGCAATGCCAACACGCATAATCAATAGTTCATTATATTTATGCTTCAGGGCCATCAAAGAAAAAAACTCCTGGTGTGCAAAATGTTCTATTATGCAGTTAAATGTAAAAAGCTCAACTCTACCACTAGAGGGCACTATTGGCAAAAGGAAAGATTTCTTCCTCTGCCCTATAGTTAATTTTATCATTAAAACCCATTATAGTTTGCTTCCTGTGGTTATATTTGTTGATCTGAACAAAAATTAGTTTTTGTATTTCAACAGAGCATTCCAAATGTTGCCATGGTTTTTCAATGAAAACAACACCAGGCATCTCTCGCTGTGTTATTATTTAACCAGTAAAGCTTGTAATTTGAATCCATGCGTCCTACAAATAAGATGTGACCTCAAGTTATTGCTAGCTAGATGGAAGAAAAATATGACTTTATTTAGTCTATTTTATTTTCAAAACGAAAGTCTAAAATAATCATGCAAACCATTTTTTTTTTTTCAGACCAAAGGGTAGACTTGAGAAAAAAAATATTGAAAATATTGAATAGCATTCTAGGATGCTGTGTGCTAGCTGGCCAGTTTATAAATGAATGGCAAGCTGAAAAAAATGAACACAGAAACTAAGTATAAAGAGATGACCAACACGATATGTTTTACAAATATAAGTCAATTGTGGTCTAAATCTCCTTCAGCTCCTACCCTCTCCCCCAAGAAATACAGTAATGTGAAACAGAGGATGGCTCTACCTCTATGCTTCTGACAATTCTGCCTGCCGAGGGTACTGACTTGTCTGGCCATTCTGCCCTCCTTCAACTCCTTTCAGGTAAGGACAGTTGGTTCTATCTTCTGTGCCAATTAGGTCTCTTCCTGGCCGCCAGAGTCCATGTAGAAGCTGTTTTACGCTTGTTTCCTGTACGTCTGTCTTCTGTCTTCTGTTTCTTGCTGCTTTCTTGGCTTAGGCTTCCTGATTCCTCTCATCCTCGCACTCATGAGTGTACTGTCGTCGAGACGTGCCCGCCCTTAGACAACAGGCGTGTTTTCCTGCTTTGCATGGGGGCATTCTTAAAGAGAAGTCAATTTCGTTGACAGTTTCATAGTCTTTGGAAACTAAACTCATCACTGGATGATTCTTAGTTGTCGAGTGCGGTGGCTGTTCATGGTTGCCAACTTGACTACATCTGGAATTAGCTAGAATTCAAAGTTGGATGGTATAGCAGGAACCGCAGGGCTCCCTCTATGTAGATGGGTGCGCAGCGGCAAAAATCATCTCCTACAGGCGGACCTAACTGAAGACTGCCTGAGAAACCAAGGATTGCAGGCTCAGACAATGCCAGCCAATCAGGAACTGCTGTTAAGAAGAAATGCTTACTCGGGACCAATGGGGCACAAGTGGAGGGTATTAAAGGCGCTTACAGCAGCGTTCATATGAGCTTGCTGCGGTGTTTCTCAGCTG